GAGATGTGTATAAGAGACAGGAGTAAGTGATGCTTTAATTTTGTTGAGAAGTATAAAAGAAACATAATTGAGTGCACTGAAATATTAAGTATGTTAAAAAATATACATAAAATATACATAAAATATACATAACACATAAAAGATCTTAAAAATGAATTCAGAACTTGAATTTAGGAAATGACAATTTAAAAATTTGATAGTAATTGGCGCATAATTTAAAGATATAAAGGCAAAATGTATAAATGTATAATATTCGTAAAATATTATTAAACATAAGATCTCGCCTAATAATCGAAATGTCAATAATATTTCTGCACAAAAAATCAAGTTCATATAAATATATATTTGATTTTGTTTTGCTTTTATATTGTTTCCCCATGCGTTTTAATAATATCTTTTAAATAAATGATTTTGGAATCTGAATAAATGATTAAAAACTTTCAGGAAGTTTTCATATAATTATATTATATTTTCATATACATACGAGGGCTGTTTGATAAATACTCGTGTTAGGGAAAAAAACACTTAAAAAAAAATTTTTTTTTTATTTCTTTACATAATCTTTTTTCAGCTCGATACATTTATCCCAGCGACATTCCAACATTTTTATACTGTTTAAAAAATATGATTGATCAAATTCCTTAAAATAGGTCTCTGTTTCGGCGATGACTTCCTCATTTGATGCAAAGCGCTTTCCGCCAAGCCATTTTTTCATGTTTGGAAATAAATAGAAATCGCAGGGGGCCAAATCTGGAGAATAGGGCAGACAAGATAACAATTCGTAGCGTAATTCGACCAGTTTTGTCATGGCGATTGCGGACAAATGAGCTGGTGCGTTGTGAACAAACGCGGCACCCATCTAGCCGATAGCTTTTTCATGCCCAATGTTTCGTGTAGGACATTTTGTATGCGTTCAGTTGAGATCTTTACAATGTTAGCAATCTCTCTGATCTTCACCCGACAGTCTGCTAACATGATATCATGGATTTTGTTGACCATATCCTCCGTAGTCACTTCAATCGGACGACCTGGGCGCTCTTCATCAAAAATGGATGTTCGGCCACGCTTAAATTCGTTGTACCAATATCTTATGGTAGTCATCGAAGGCGCGTTGTCCTTATATACGGCATGCAACTTTTCTTTGATTTCTTCACACGTCTTCCCATCCAAAAACAGGAATCGAATCACAGATCGATATTGCTCTTTTTCCATGATTGCAAACAAGCACAAACTCATCAACTTTCAATTGTTATAAAAACTAAACTAACCGGTACAGCCGCTATCTGAAATTTTTACTTGCGTCGTTCAAAAAATGGCGTTACACGATGATATACAGACTTTTAGTTAGTGGCGCCCTCAATTGTCAAACACGGGTATTTATCAAACAGCTCTCGTATATAATTATATTATACATATGTATATAATTATATGTATGTAAATGATTACATATAAAATATCCATATCTAATTATATTGCAAATTTAAACTTTTTTTTTTAATCAGACAAAGTGATTCTTATAGATTTTTTTATTGATATACTGATGAAAACGAATCTGAATGAAGTTGCTCCATCACATCATTTTTAAGAGAATTGGACCTGGAAGTATTAAAGAATGCGTTTTTGGATACTTTTGAGCTGAATAGCTAAAAAATGTGAGACGATAGGATAATTCTGCAAGTGGATTCGTTTTCTACGCCAAAAAGTTATAGATAAATTAAAAAAAAAGAACATAATATGATATATCTATATAATTATGCTACATACAGATCCAAAATATTCCGTAATAGCTGAATATCTTGGAAAATATTTATTTTTGAAAAAATGTTTTAGACAAAAGTTGTAGTATATAAAGTGTATTTAATGATAGCAGTTTCATCTTGAGTTGCATCAAAGTTATATTAAGGTCACATCGATTTTTTCAACAGAAATTTCTATTTATTATTATTTTTTATTTTATTATTAATTGATATTGAGAGCTTTTAAAAATACTATAATAAAGTTTCTTTTGGGATTAATGAGGATTGAAAGTTAGAATACTACCGTTACATTTTTTACAAGAAATGTGACATAAGAATTTATAAACTCTTAGTTCAAAAATAAAACAGAATCTTTGACAAAAAAGCTATAAGAAAAAAGCTTGTAAGTAAAGAGAGTTAAGTTATTAAATAGGATCGGACAAGAATCAAAATTGCCAGATCATTCATTGTGATTACTTATATTTGCGATTTATTTATGCGAAAATGTAATTGGAAAATTAATATGTAATATATAAGACTCTTAGTTCTAAAAAACGATTAGTAATTTGAATAATTGGAAAACTCCCACTATGGGTAAAAATTCAGAGCTTTTTTAAGTGAAAGTTGAGAGCCTATTAATGGCAAAAACTTTTCCCGAAAAAGTCTGCAAAAACCTCTTTAAAACGACCTACCTTTGAAATACGGAATAACTCGTCAGTTTAACGTAATCAGGGATCGCGAGCAGGTTCAGGAGAAAGAAGAGCGAAGCGGGTAGTTAAGTAATCACTCACCGTTTTAATTAACCACAAAACATTTATTTAAATTAAGAAAAAGAACAAAACATTAAAGAGTAGCAACAGATTTAGAAAAGAAAACGTAACATTCAAATTGATAAATAAATAAAATAACATAAAATAAAAAAAAATAAAAAAAATTACGAATCATGATTTATGCAACTTACGGGTCACACAATAGCAAACGATTATAAATAATTTATACGGAAACTTAGCTCATAAATCATATGCGAAATATCTACTAAAACATTGTGCATATATTCGAAAACAATTATGCCACAGTATAAATCTATTGAGATGAAAAAACGATTACATTTATTATCACGGAAAGATACGATATTATCGGCGCGGGCCGCAAGCTGACGAGCGGCGTCAAATATCGGAGTCGGAATGTGCGATCACGCGGTTGCGGCGTAACGCGTGATTGCGTGTACGGACTCGATGCGCGCGTGAATGCGAATTTCGTATGTGCATAATTATGGCAAATCGATGCGGAATTTAAACGCTCGGTAAAGAAAGATTGTCGGTTATCGGATCGATGATATCAGCGAGATTAACGAGGGCTGCTGAAAACACTCGGCTAAGGATAGAGAAACGATCTATCCCTGTTGTTTTGCTACTTCGTATCAGGATTGGATCGTACAAGGGCTGCGTTCCTTTTGGACGCTCACGCGCTGTAAGCGCTTATAAGCTTCGCTTATACCGTTCCTTTTGGCGTTATAAGCGCTCATGAAAGGCATTTATGATGTCATCATTACGTTATCACTCATGCTTACAATTGCTCATTCTATCGAGGTAGGGCAACGAAAGTGTGAGCGCTATAAGCGTATAAGCGTCCAAAAGGAACGGTGGCCATTGTGTTGTCGGAACGCACCTAATCAAAATTTGTATGGACAACCTACATAATCTCTATTTGATTTAGATAAAAGTATTGCGCTATATACGAGTAGTATATAACCTTGTGAAAAGGTTGAAGGCGCTATAATTCCAGCAGGTGGAGCAAAAAAGAAGGAAAAAATAGATAAAAGAATATCCAAATAAACTAATTGCAATAGCTGTATAATTATAAGTAAAAAGAATATTATCCAATCTTCATTAAAATCTATTATATCTAATCCAACATTTGCTAACATAATTATATAAAACATAATCATATCACTTTCAATTGCTATCTCGATACGCTCACAGTTACAAATGCCAAAGGGACCGGCTTTGCTGACAGTCGTATGAACGCTTAAATTTTAAAAGGAACGGCAGAAAATAGCGCTTATAAGCGTGAGCGCTTACAGCACATGAGCGTCCAAAAGGAACGCACCCAAGGAATAATGGCAACTGTCGAGACCACTCGCTCAGGGGCAGGGAATTTGGGTTCTTCGCTGTCGGTTTTTGGATCGGAGGCTTCTCGATGAACGAGAACTTGTCGAGAATCGCTCAGCCAGGGACAAAGTATCGCCCCTGTTGCATCGTTTGTTTGTAGGAATATCTTCCGAACTGTATCAGACTGGTCGAATGTAATCCGGCAGCTGACACGAGTAGAAATCGCCAATCGCAACTGCCTCTTTTTATACCCGAAACCATAAGTATTCGAATAAAGTCGTGATTAATCGGTGTAGTGTATGAGCAGAAACATAGATAGCGCAGGTGATGTAGGGATATAGTTAGTACGTTAGCGGCGTAGCTCGCACGTGGAGTATCACTGTAGACAGCGTAAGCAACAGAGCAATAAACCCGTTATATAGAGTATCGAGAATACAATTGATTCCCCATTCGGATAAAAGGCGGTAAATACCACATTGGCGATGAGGGAAAAACAACAAGTCAAAAGGAGAAACTCGGGAAAAAAATTACAAGAGGAAACGCACAAGGAGACAAAATGGCCACAAACGAAAGCGGAGAACGAGAAGGATACAGAATTCCGACATTTAACTCAAACGAAGACCAGGTTGAAGTGTATCAGCGATGGGAAAGGTGGTTGAGAGGCTTCGAACTGTTCCTGATTGGGAAAGACATTCGAGATAGCAACCGGAAGAAAGCTGTTATTACATCATGGCGGCTTCGCTTTACAAGACGCCATTTTTCTACGCCATTCCAGACGCGGAAGTTGTGGCAGAGGGAAAAGATGCGTACACGAAGACAAAAGAAAAATTAATGGAATATTTCAAACCGAAATTAAACAAAACGTTCGAAAGGCATATATTTCGTGGTCTAACGCAAAATGCAAGTGAATCCGTTGGACAATATGCGACGCGTTTATGGCAACAGGCGAAATATTGTGCGTTTACGCAAGAAGACAAAGAAATACGCGATCAAGTGATTGAACATTGTTATTCGTCGGAAGTCCGGAAACGTGTGTTAGAAAAAGGAGATCAGACACTAGTGGAAGTCATAGCAATAGCACAGTCAATAGAAGTAATGACCGTGCAAATAAAACAAATGGAAGGTGAAACAGTAATTGCAAGAATCTTCCACGGTAAAGATGCCAGGAAACCAAGAGATAAACAAGAAGTGAAGTGTTATAGATGTGGATTTAAGGAATATACGCATGCAGACGAAAAATGTCCGGCATGAGATAAACAATGCGATAAGTGTAAAAAAAAAAATCATTTCGCATCCGTGTGACGAACAGGAACAACACGTAGCAAAGGAAAGAAAAATCAGAAACAAGACAAGGATAAGATAAAGAAGGATGATATTAGAAGAGTCGGAGACTTGGAAGAAAGTCCTGAGCGGAATGCTAGCGGACAACCGGGTTACATCTTTGGACTGATGGGGGAGCCACTCTACGCGCGAGACGAGAGCAGGATCTGGGTGCGAGTTGGAGGAGTGTCGGTGCAGTTTATCATCGACTCTGGATCATCGGTTAATGTCACCGATGAGCAGACTTGGGGATTCTGCAAGAAGAAAAGAACTCGTTGCGATTCAATGAAGTTACCAGATAGAAAAATTTTCGCGTGTGGTCAGGATAAACCGTTAGAAATTCTCAGAGAATTTACGTCAAAAATGTCGATCGGAGGAAAAGAGACAATCGCGAGGATAATGGTAAAGAAAAACGCGGGTGAATCCTTGTTGAGTCGGGAGACAGCGATAGAACTGGGAGTTTTACGATTAGGAACACAGTGTCAAATTTCGAAAATAGACGAAAGAGAGGAATCAGTATTCGAAGGAATAGGGAAATTGAAAGATTTCAGGTTAGTTTTACCAATCGATAATTCTTGTGTTTCGATGGCACAACCAGTAAGGCGAATACCATTTAAAATACGCGATAAAATAAAGAATGAAATAGAGAAGTTACTAAAAGCGGATATTATCGAGAAAGTCGAGGAACCTACACCATGGGTTTCCCCTGTAGTGCCGATTGAGAAAAAGAATGAGGAAGTAAAATTGTGTGTCGACATGCGACGAGCTAACCAAGCCATTCAGCGCGAGAGATTTCCAATGTCTGTTTTAGAAGACGTACTTACCGAAATATATGAGGCTGAATACTTTAGTACAATAGATATCGAGAAAGCATATCACCAAATAGAATTAGTAGAAGAATCGCGAGCGATCACAACGTTTGCGACGGATTTTGGACTTTATTGGTATAAACGGCTCATGTTCGGAATTAATTGTGCTACTGAAATTTTCCAAAGAATTTTAAGAGATGTGTTAAATAGCATAGAAGGTGTTATAAATTATTTGGATGACATTCTAGTCTTTGGTAAACGAAAGATGAACACGACCGACGACTTAAGATGGTTATGGATCGGTTAAAAAGTAGAGGTTTAATGATAAATAAAAAAAAAGTCACTTTGGAAAGAGAGAGGTTACGTTCCTGTTTAGGATTTCAGGAATTAGAATTAGACCGTTAGAATCTAAAATTAAAGCAGTGGAAAATTTCAAGAAACCGGAAACTCCGGAAGAAATCCGGAGTTTCTTAGGGTTAGTTAATTTTTGTGAGGCATTTATACCAAACTTATCGACAATAAGCGAACCTCTGAGACAGTTAAGGTAGTACACTCACAAATTCAAAATATTGAGAATTTCTTGAAATTGAAACTATATGTTGTACTAGAA